GGGCCAGTCGCTTGCCGCGGGGCGCGACAATGACTGGGCAAGCGATGAGCGAGGCAATGAGGGACGAGACGTGCTCAACACATCTGAACAGCACGTGCAAAGACATCTTCAAGCCATTGTATTCATTATTGGTGTTACTACAACTGGTAATGAACATTATTTTTCTTGTTGTTATTGTTGTCATTGTTGTTATGGTTATCACTAGTGGTAAAAACAGCTGTGGAAATCCGCTCGTCGCCAAGCCTCGTAGGCTTTCGGAGCTTGGTGCTAGTCTGTCCACTCCTTGCACCCAAAGACACAACATGTCGTTCCGCTTACATAAAGCACTGCGGAATGCCGCAGGCTCTAGGCTTGTGCAATGCACGCATGAGGTCGCAACCTATACCCCAGAAAAGCACCCCTAGAGCAAGCACTCCCAATTTGGAGACGCGCCCTCGCCCGTACTTGCAGCTGTACATAGATGCTCAGGTGAAGGACGAGTCATACGTTCAAGCTGAATACCGAGTCACCGTTCAGAGCTCGCAGGTCTGTGCAAGCCTGGGAAACCTAAGAGCCAGAGAAGATGGATACCAACAGATCGTGCAGTGCAGTTCCCTGCACGAGCGAGAACTTGCATCTTCACGCCGAAAGAACACCAGACAAAACAGAGACATATTTCGAGTCTATGTCCAATGGCACCTGGCTTCTGCCACCACTGCTCGAAGGCCGGTGTTGGTTGTTTTGATGCCGACTCCATTATTCGATCGTACTGTCGCAAGTCCAGTTGTTCATTCACTGGAGAGCTCTTGAGAGTGTCGATAGTTGAGATGCCGCGCGCCTATGCATACGGAGTTCCGCCCATGTGTTCTTAAAAAGGTCTTTGCTCTTCAGTTCTCCGCTCTTGTCGTTGTCGGTTCTTTGGAAAAAACAACCAGGGCTACAACTTGAGTACGAGATGGCTGTCGCACACACTCTTTGAGTAGTTTTGCTAAGGCACTCCCACTCGGTGCACGTGCATGCATCCCAGAGCAGCAGGCTTCAGTGCATAGATAACATGAAACCCGAAATCAAGATGCACGTAGGTGCACCACTTGCTAAGTGGGAAACGCCAACAGAACCAAATGCTGAGCAACCTCAGAATTTCATGAGTCCATGATGAGAAAGCTGGCATATTATTGTGCATATATATATATATATATACATGTTATGCATGAACAAATTCAAACGTTCAGCAGACGCTTGTCGCACCAGAAGCATGTAGTATTATTGTACGCAGCAGGAAGCAGAGAAAAAAAAATATGTAGGTCGTTCATGATGCGGCCATTTTATCACGTAAAACTTCGTAGCCTGGGAACAACAGAGCAGAGGCGGTGGCCACAATTAGTAGGATCTTCCATTCCAAAACCCCCAACTTAGTCGCAGAATGCTCGGAAATCCTGTGCCCGAAGGACGTGGAGGCCGAGGTCACGGAGTCCGGAGACTACCGATGTCTGTGGCGAGGTTGCAACTTTACCCGGAGGCCCCATAGTAGTTCCTTTTTGGGATTACCCAGGGGTCCTTTAAAGGGTACTATAAGGGCTCCTTTAAGGGATCTCTGGGGTTTAGGGCTTAAGAAACTACTAAGAAGCCCCAAAGTAGTTCCTTTTTGGGATTACCTTATAGGAGTCTATAGATGAACCCCAAAAAGGAGCTACTTCGGGGCCTCTGGGTAGACTCGAGCCTGCTAGTGCTGACGGCATGTTTGATTGCGGCTGATCCTGCGCAGAAAACACTACTGGGAGTTGTAGTTTTAGGGTTTGCGGCTTTGGTTTGTTTGCGGGGTAAGGTCCCGCATGGGGTTGTTTCTGGGCACCCAGGACCCCCCGAGACCGCACCCCCCTGATTGCGATCTTTTTTCGGCAGGTCCTGGGCCCCTAAACCTCTAAAGCCCTAACTAGACCAGCCTTCAGGTCCTAGGCGAGCCCTAGATGCCCAAAGACCAGATGTCCCCAACCTACATCCCAGATCCTTTAGGGTTGGGACTTGAGTCCAGTGGCAAAAAGGGTTGAATGTTGAAAACCTGTTGCAAAAGGGTTCAAAGGCCGGATCAATCCTAAATCATTTTAAATCCTTGTCCCTAAGCTTCCGAGCCACCAAGCTCCCCAGCCTCGGATTGATACCTGGACCGTAAGAAGCCTGCAGTTGTAGGGATCGGTATTTTAAATATTTCCTGTTTTCAAATCCTGAAAAGGTCGGTTATTTGCGGCTTCACGTAAGGCATTTAGGGTTTCTCTAGGGTTAAGCCCATTTCTGTATATAGCTCTGCCTTTGAGGGGGTCTTTGGGGATTAGACGAGACTGCTGTGATGATTATCAGTCACTGCACCTTGGCTGGCATGATGTTATTCATTTTTCAGGACTCAGCCTGAACTGTCGCAAAAAGCCCAGGGTGGATGGGAGCTTGCCTTCAGGGTTAGGGGTTTGGGGGGTTGGTCAGAGGGCTTTTGAGGTTTTGAACTTAGGATGGGGATCTCTACACCCTA